GGTGAAAGGGATCTATTGGCAGAAATTGAATCTAAATTAATCCTAGAGGTGTTTTCACTGGTGTGTTTCATCTATCGTTGTTTTCTATACCCTATAATGGGCTCTTTCCATTTAAATACTGTAGATTTACAACGGGAGTAGGTCCTCTCTGCAGAGGCCGCCATGTTTTTTACAGTAGCCCAGACTAGATAAACTCATTCAGCCGCAACATGCAACTTCACCACAAGATGTCACTAAATCCTACACACATGTCTGGAAAATTGGGGTCCACTTATTTTTCAGAGTCTGCTTTTCCCATTCGAAAAACACAGCAGGAGATAGTCCTGGTCAGATGAGTACACAAGAGGAAAATGGGGGTTAGCACCTTGGTGGAGCATGCAAGAGGCAGGACATAATGTATAGATTCAGCTGTGGAAATCACATTTTATCTTTAACAGCACATTGACACCAACATTGCCTGTTATGTTATGGAATCAGAGCGTTTTCTGATTTGACATCTTTGTGGGTATATTCTCTATTCTCGCACATTTTCCTGCTGTATTCCCACATGGGCTCACTCAGACATTTTTCGGACATTTTATAGCGTTCTGCCACACAGCCCCTCCAAAACATTTCACTGCATGTCTGAAAGCAGCTGAAGAAAAGAGCTTAATGGTGCAGGAATTCTGATAGTTCTGTTGGACCCTCACAATTACTGGGACATTCCTTTTTTCTTAATTGGTTTAAAATGAAAGCTCAATCAGACTATACAGGCATTAAGTAAATGCAATGATCAAAGTAAAATGGTCAGTTTTTCCAGTACAAGCCCACCAAGGTAAAAAAAAACAGCTCATGCAATCACTGCGACTTATGACCAAAAAAATCTGCTGCAATAATCCTTATGTGCAGAAACATTCCAGCATATTGCCCATATGGCCAGACCACAATCAGTCACTGGATGGAGAACCATTGACGTGACATCACTAATTGAGATATGGCCAGATATGTACTATGACTGATTAAGTACATTTATATAGAACAATAGAGCTACAGACAACAGTCCCTTTCCTCCCTGTGTGTTTTAAAGTTTCTCAGTCACACCTTTAGACCACCTTTAAAGGTTGCTTTTAGGCCAAAAAATACTACAGTCACTCAAAAGTGAAAACTATACACTCACAGCAATCCAGTCAACTGCTGCAATATCTCCACATCTCTACATTTACATTTCCTTCACAGTATGTCTCCATGTGGGGAGGAGTGGGGCTTGTAAAAGGGAAGTTTAAAAGAAAGACTGGACAGAGGGGAAAGTATTTGATTCCACGTGGGTGGCCTGATAAAACAAAGTCGGAGAAAAATCTGGAAGCTGTAAACACTGGACTTTTAGACTTAATCCATTTAGAGGAGATCACAAACCTTTTGTCTCTTATTTCTTTCTGACTTTTTCTTTCTCTCTACCACTAGCACAAAAACATCCTTTCTATAATACTGCAGTGGCTTCATGAACAGGATCAATACAGACAAATGATTTCATATGTCTCTGAATTACTTTTTAAGATAGAAGGAAGAATGTGGTGCATCGACAGCTGCCCTTTGTTCAAGTCATGCAAGAAGTACATACAACCACATTAATGTCTCAGTGTTCTTTGAATTCAGACTAAAATATGTCTGCACCACTGACTGCCAGCACTTAAGATTGGCAGTGAATGACTGAACAGATTCTTATTTTTATTCATTTACTTTCATGATATAACCACATTTAAGTAGGAATGTTTCTAATTTTAGACAGTATTAATATAGCAAAATTATTATGTTGCTGTCTGTATAAGACAGAATGAAACACTGATGTATTTGAGACATTTGTTGCATCAAATATTGGGGTTGTAGAGAAAACAAACCATATTAAATGAAGCCATTAATGCATGACACACATCCCAGTGAGTCCCTGGGAGTAGTTGGCTCTTTTGGGAAGTTGAAGACTGACAGTTATGCAATAAGAGCAGAAGGAAAGACAGGCTGCATTCCTGCTGACTGCTTCAGTGAAAAATACTTAAACAGTGAGGGGAAGCTCATGAACACGCAGACACACTCATTCATGAGTGATTATCAGTCATCGCACAGAGAAAAAAAACAATGTGTGTATCTGGTTGGACTTTTTTCAACAAACAGCAGCTAGTAATAAGTTACTGCACTATTTGTTTAAGTCTGTTGAGCTGCTGCTGTGAAGGAGCTGCTGTTCTTTATCTGAGAAGTGTTAGCACTGACAGGACAAACTGAGCTGGTGATGGTGGGCTGATCATACTTGTTGTATGATCCGTTTGGGGTGATAACACTGAATTGTCAATAACTGTCGCTCCATGTTACTATAGTTTCTCACATAATACATGGGGACATGTAAGCTGCTTTCAGACATGCATTGAACTCAGCACATTTTCCTGAAATTATCCGACAGGGCTGTATGTGAGAATGCATTTCTAAAGGTTTAAGGTTCAAAGGTTTTATTTGTCATCTGCACAACAGATACAGCGTACATGTTGGCAATGAAAATCTTAAATCCCAGGCACCTCAAGCAACTCAACATGTAATAGTGTCAGAAATTAAGAGTAACTAAAAATACTATTATAAAGCGCAAATAAAAGAAAAGAAAAACATACAATATGCATTTCAAGGATTTTGTGCCATATAGTTCTGAATATTAAGTAAGTCCCAACATATTTCACTTTCTAACATCTTCTCCTGTTATGTATTATCCCCTCCCTCCCTCCCTCCATCACAGTTTCATTCTTCAGCTCTCTCTCAGTTCTATTTTCATCCCTGTACCTTTGTTCAGCCAGAGTGCTTCCTTCCAACTCTCCTCTTTTTTGGTTTCTGTCGTTCTCTCCTCTCTCTCTACCTGACATTTGACTTGGCAGTCTGCCTTACACCAAAACAAACTATATGACCTCATTTTACTGCAATGTTCCAGAGGCACAGAGAGAGACAGATTAAAAGAAGAATAAGATAACATGAAGAGGAATGCTGGGGAAATGGTATCAGACAGACAAATTGAGATGGGGTGAAAGTATGTGGGAGAAATGCAACATAAGGATATAGTGTTACAGACATGCAAATTATAGACTGTGACTGACAAAACATCTGGACAAGCAAGGGAAACAAGAAGGAAATGAGCAAAAATGATAAATGTGAAATAAAGAATCGAGGTTTTAATGTCAGAAAATGCAGTTGCATTGTGGGTAAAATGAGCAGAACTCCAGGCTCCAAAAAAGGAAACGTTCCTTTTCTCTCACCTTCTTTCTTTATCCCTTCATTACTTTCTCAGAACTTGTCATTGCTCCATTTCAGCTTCACACAAATGTTATTACATTCAGTCCAAATCTCTCACACACACACACACACACACACACACACACACACACACACTGCTCTAAATACAACTCTGGGCTCCAAATGTTTCAACAAGGCACTGATATATTCCAGACCAATAATATGCACACACACACACACACGCACGCACAATGTACAAAAGCGGAAACCAGTTTATAACACACACAAATGTAGACGGGACACAAATTCGCACACACCCTACACAATGGAGTGCACGAACACACACGCCAGCCGGTAGTGCTGGACATCATCAAACACTTCAGTAACCACAACAACTTCCTATTTCCCTAAACCCATTTCCTGCCTGGCGAGGTCATTCACCAGCTAGTACTGCTGTCACCACAGCAACAAGTAATGAGCAAGAGAGTGAAACAATCAACAACTAAGGAAAACCAACGGATATGAAATATATATCAAGAACAAAATAGCAGCTTAGCGAGAGCAGGTCAGAATCAAGGAGCAACAAGGGATAAAGGACATATGCCATATGGCCTCCATACCTGAACTGAGGGATTCCAGGGCTGCAAAATGGTCACTGACATTTTATAATGAAACACAGTCCTGGATGTTGAGTCTGCAATCACCCCCCCCCCCCCCCCCCCCCCCCCCCCCCTTTAAAACAACTTCAAAGAGACACAACATTGTAGATGGGGTGATGGGGGCCTTTGTCATGTCTGTGCCTGGCGGCCCTTTGTGAGCCCTCTGAGACTCACATGGACGGACACATTTAATTCCCGCTGACCTGCAATATCATTACACAAGTCAAAGAACAAACCTCACAACTACAGCGCCTGCCTTTATCTATATTGAGTGTTTTGCACAAGTTTAGCTTGATCATGATGATACTTATTCTAACTGTTATACTTATCATGATATTGATTGTTGATCACAGCATTTCATTTAGCTTTTCTACTGTTTTATATCAACCAGAAAATGCCTGTGTTTGGACACTACTGAGCAAATACAGAATCACACACGCACGTACGCACACACATGCACTGTTGCGATGAACTGTTTATTATCCTGGCGCAGAGACAAATGATATTGAATGAAACAAATAAATGAAAACAGACATATATGCAGCGGGCCTTGGTCCTCTCCTTAATGCCTTTTGTCTAAGATTTGTTTAATCAAACTAATAACATCCTCTGATGTTTGTTTAACACTGCTCAGCCTTTAATGGCTTCTGTATTGTAGTACTGCTCCCAAATGCACTCTAAATATAAGCATGAGTCCTGATTCACAGCACTCCAGAGGAGCACAGACATGAATTGGTGTTGATACAAAACCATAAGAGCAAATCACATGTGCATGATAACATCAAGGACTGTTTTAACTACCAAACACATCGATTTTCCATATCTTCTGGTCTGATCCTATCTTCTAATAATCCAGTTTCACTATTTTAATAAATCTGAAAAACACTTAACCCGAGAACACTCACTCAAATACAAACATTTGAATTTGACATTTGACAAGTTTTCTGTTGAAGCCATCAATGACATCAAAAGAGCAGATAATTAATTTGGTGTTGAATTATCAGAACTCTAAAGATGCAGGCAAAAACATAGCATTTGAACACACATCACATCACATCTCATCACACATGACAATGACAAGGTAAAAAAATCTGAACTCACCACTCTGGGCTTGGACCTCTGTGCAGCGGGCATGGACGCTGCATCCTCTGTACCCTTCTTTGTACTAGCTTCTGTAATTCCACTTGTGCTGGTCTCGCTGGGCCCCTCTGAAGCCAACACAACTTCAGCTCCATCCCTGGGCACTGGAAGAGTCCCTGGGCCCTCAGTGTCTCTCTCAGAAGTGCTTTGTTCAAGAATATACTTCTGAGTCACAGCTTCCAGAGAGGGGGCCTCATCTCCTGGAGGTTTACTTAAAATTGGAGGCTCTCTAGTGGGTTGGAGAGGGAGGCAGTCCACTTCCTTCAGTGGCTGGAGTTGTGGAGGTGGGGAGATGGGGATGAAGGCTGCAGGTTCACTGGCATGGCGGACATGCTTGGTTTTGGGTTTGGATTGCATTAAGGGAGGGGGGAGAGGAGGGGTGAGGTCCGTTTGGTCACTCTGATACTCCTGCCCCTCTAAACCCTGTTCTGGGGGCTCAAAGGGGTCTTCGTGAGGGAAAAAGTGAGCTAGCCGGTTTGGACGCTTTCTGGAGGGCCGGCGAATCATTCTAGGTGACAAAACCTCAGCGAGCTGGAGGTCAAAGTTAAACTTCCTCAACTCTTCTTCTTTCTCCTCTTCACCTTGGTCTATGACATCATTATCTTCATTGTCATGGTTATCGGTGAGGGGAAGGCACTCTGACTGAGATCGAGCCTTCTTGACTTGATTACTGCTGTTTGTGTGGTGATGCGGCTCTGTTAGCAATGTCTGTTCAGGTTGGGCTTCTGGCTCCCACAGTTCCCCTCTCTGCTCACTCAGGATCGGCTCACTGCTGGAAGGTGGGATCTGGCCAGGTTGATCCAGCTCACTGATTGGCTGAGTGCTGCTGGACTGACCTTTACATTGAGGGTCATTATGGGTGAGTAAAGGGGCATCACTGCGGCGGCTGGGGTCACTGAATGACTTCTTCTTGGGAGCTTTGCCATTGCCATGGTCATCTGTCATCAGTCTGTCCATTGCACCTGGTTCAGATACAATGCTCCTTATCACCCCACTGTAATCATGAACACCATCATCCCGGAGCCCGCCATCACTGTAAACTGACAAGTCACTTGCCACACTACCCTTGTATTCTGACAAGGTGGCCACAGCAGAGTCCTCGGATACCCCTCCTCCTCCTTTGATGGACAGGGATCCTAACAGGTTGCTGTCTACAGAGGAAAATGTGTTATTCCCTTCTTCTGCCACAGAACAACATCGCTGAGGCATGGGGTCACTGAGAGAGCGGTAGACTGTGGTATCCCCATATCCCACAGCTGCTGTTGTTGACTCAGCATTACTCCCATTACTAGAATCAGACGCGGTGTTGTTATTACCAGAAGGGGAGAATTTGCGCCTTCGACGAACAGCACTTGGGGTTGCAGGAGCTTCATGTCCTCCTCCTACGGTGGCAGCTGACCCCTGCAACGCTGCACTATTGGCGTTAATCTCCTCACTGGTAGGGTTGACAGTGTTGATACCAGCAGTACAGTTCAAGTCCATGATAATGCAGTCACTCTCAGCCATTCGGGCAAAAAGAGGCAAGGAGGGAGGTGCACCGGCTTCATTCACAAGATTTGTAAAACTCACGCTGTTCTCTGTCATTTCTTCTCTCTCCTGTTTAAAGCATTCCACCTCGTGGAGAGCCGACTGCTTCCATATGGTGACAGGTTGCCCTAGCACATCCCTAGGTATCCGAGACCCTAAATTAACCCCTGCTGACCCCAGGAATGACCTCTCGGAGGAGTCACCAGGGCCTACCTCTGGCTCTGTCACAATCCCTTCATCTGTTAAACTAGACTCATGGCCTGAGAGTTCATCCAAAGAGCGGTCGTAGAACATGCTTTCCTCCGAGTCCCCCTTTAGTAAGGCTCTCTCTGTCTCTCTGCTCTGTCTCTTATTTCTCTCCCCGTACTCTGTGCCCCTGCTGTTTAGTTTCTCTAACTGCACACTTTGTCCATCCCTCTCAGTCTTCTCCCTGTTCTCTCTCTCCCTCTCATGTTTATCCCTGTCTTTTGTGTTTTTAAACTCAGCCTCTTGATCTGCCCCTGCCTGATCCTGAACACTCGCACCTATTTTTTCCTTCACCCCTTTTCTTTCCGTGACCTGGAAACATTCATCCTCTAAATCAGTTCTCCTTACATTTACATCATCATCATCATCTTCTTCCCTAGTACTCATCTGGCAGATGTCTCGGATGACCTGCCTGGCTTCTTGCATGTACCTCTCCTGCAATGGAGTTGGCATCACTTCCTCATCATCATCAAATCCATAATCTCTCAATCTTTGTCCTCTCCCACCCCTGAAATCCCCTCCATCACTTTCTACTTCTCTGTCTGACACAGACACCCTCCCGCCATCTTTCTCTCCATCCAAGTCAAGCTGCTGCTCAGAGGAACTCCTCTTCGCAGTACCACCTCTCAAGTAACACCTTTCAGCTGTGGTTGGTTTGTCTGAATAGGTGAAAGATTTTGCACGTCTTAGGGTGGCAGTCAGGTCTTTCAGTGACGGTCGACGACCGGAAGGTAACAGGGTCCCTCCTTGTGTCCTTGAGCCCATCCTGTACACTGACCCCTCCACAACACCAGATTTGTCACCGCCACTTGGTTTGCAGACCTTTAGCTCGGACAGGTCAGACTTTAGAAAACTCAGGAGAGTCATAGTTTCTGAGGTGATATCAGGGTTGGACACAGATATTTGGTTTTTATTATCATCATCTACCCCATCTCCACTTGTTGTCCTCTTTAATGCCTTCGTCTCACCACCCCTGACCACTGTAGGCACCCCACCTTCTCTAGCATGTACACTAGGCGAGGGGGTCACTGTGGGCAAGATTTTGGGGCGCAATCGCACTGGCGTACGGGAAAAGTTATCCCCATGGCCAAAGCTTGGGGAGCGGTACATGGTAAAATTTCCATGGTAAGTTTTACTCAGCATGGACAAGGATGCAGTCCTGCTACTGCTGCTTCTAGCCTCACCCGCATTAAAAATCACATTTGTTTCACGGTTTGCATTGCCCTCCTCCTTCAATGTTTCAGTGCTGGAATACCGGCTGCTGCAACGTGAACCACCAGGACTGGACACAAATGGGGGGATATTAACCTTCGACACTCGTGATACAGAGGATGTCATGGGTGAGGAGAGGCGCTCCCATTGCTGCACCCTGGCTCTGTTACTATGACCACTGGGCTCTCTTGTTGAGTGGCTCTGAGATAAAGTTACTGGAAATTCTCCTCCTGTGTTTTGCTGTCGATGCCTCTCTAAGTGCTCCATTGTCAAGGCCATGTCACTGTCACTGTCCTCTGATTCGCCATCATGATCTTCATAATCATCACGGCCTGTCGCTAAAGCAGCTCCAATGATTTTCTTCTTCTTCCTCAGCGAGCGGCGGCGTACTGCCTCTCGAACGTGGGGGCCTAAAGAACCAGGGCTGTCCTCCTCACTGCCTGAGGACCTGCCAATGCCCTTTGCACCCAACCAGCCATTTTTATTGCGGGGAAAATAGCTGCCTCCTCGCTCTGTGGCACCCCTTTCACATCCTCTGAAGGAGAGGGATGGAGCAGGGCCAGAGGGACCACTCCAACCGCCTACACTTCTTCTCCTGGTGTGTTCCTCCTCTTCGTCTCCAGAACTAAACCTCCAGCGTGAGCTGAGGGGAGAGACAACTCTTGCTGGGGCTCTTAGCTCAGCAGAGGGAGATACAGTAGAAGAGGAGGTAATGGCTTTATCTGGAGCTGGAGCAGAGGAGGGGGAGGAGGAGGAGGTGGGGGCTGGTGCTATAGAGGAGCTATGTGAGGAATGTAAACTATCCCTGGGCAGCCCGACCCCCTGTCTATCCCTTCTCTCCCTCACTGTCGGCTGCTGAAGAGAGTTGGAGCAGCGTGAGGTGTCTAAGCTCAACGATCGACTACAAGACGAAGTAGCAGGGGGTTGAAGGTCAGGGTTGGGGTCAGATGTCAACCCTTGTATCCCGGGGGTCTTACGGACGGCCTCTGTCTCAGTGCTGGGACTATGAGATCTGAATGGAGATGGGTTAATCCTAAGGTAGTGACTACCCCCAGTGCAACTGCTACTGCTTTGTGAAGTATTTCTTCCAGAAACTTTGTTGTAGTGAGAGCTTTGGGTCTCTATGTCAGGCTCCTCATCGTTTGAGTACTGCTGTTGGTCAGGTTTGCAATTAAAGTCCATACCGTAACAATATGTCTCGTCAGCAGTACTTCCTTCTCTGCTTTGTGCTCCAACTACACATTTTTTATGCAAAGACAAACTCCTACCATCACTAACAGAGCTGCAGGGTGAGAGCTTGTCACTTCTATCAGCGAGAGAAGCACTCTCTGTTGGGCTGAGCTCTGGTACTTGGCCCCTGCAAGCTGCCTTTAAATTCTCACCAGCATCAGTCTGGGCTTTGTTTTTTTGTCTTTCGTCAAAAAGCTGTCTGATTTTGGTGACACTGGGCCACTTGTCTGAGTGCAGGGGAATAAAGTCACCGTGGTGAGTGGAGAGATAAGTTTTGTGAGATTTACAAGGTGGAGGAAGCGCTCTGCTAGTGACATCCTCCTCTTCATCAGTAATCAAAGACTTTCTGGGATCAGAGGCACATGCATTGATCTGTGAGTAGTCTCTCTTACCAGAGCTGCTGCTGCTGTCGGTGGATACACGTGTGAAAATCCGTTTCTCACTTTTCTTCTCTGAGTCTGATCCAGACACAGAGTCGGTGCCAGACTGAAACTTTTGCACCTTATTGTCTGTGAGAGACTCTGCAGCAGCAGTAGCAGTAGTTGTGGTCGTAGTTGTTGTAGTAGTAGTAGAAGTAGTATCAATGTCCGGGAAATATCCGCCACTAATGTCCTCGTGAAAAGATTTACGACACACAGACCCGTCTCTCCTGGAGCCGCCGGCCCGGGGAAGAGTGCTGGTCCCCCGCCTCACAACTTCACCGTCTCCCGGCGGAGCTGTGCGCGTCCTGGCGGAGCCTCCGTCGGAACTAGCTCTGCTGCTGCTGCTGAACCTCTCGGTGAGCTGGCGGATGGATGGAGAAATGGAGGAGAGAGGAGTGGAGGAGCTGCTCTTCGGGTCTGCGGTTGGGAGGCCGGCGGTAGTGGTGGTGGTGGTGGTGGTGGCAGAGATCTTGGAAACTTTTCTCGACAGAGGCTGCTCCGGGGGGAGGGCGCCGCCAGCTGCCTCCAAAGCCCCGGGTCTGTGTCGCTGCTCCTCGCCGCTGCTCCTGGACCCCAACTTTTTAAAAGAGACGCTGCGGTACACAGCCTCATTCTTCCGCTGTCTTCCTGCCATTGTTCAAGTCTTGTCAGTTTCACACACTCTTACATGTTAACCCCTCTGGTATCAAACACTGTCCAGGTCCAGGTCCATTTCCCTCCGAGTGAAAACACAACAACAAGTTCAGAAAAATAAAAACACTTGAAATCCAGTGAAACGAGGCTCCCACAGAGAGAGGGTGAGTTCTCCTGATATCAACACTTACATGTTGTCGACTCCCGACACCACATCCGTGCAAAGGAGGGAAAGTTTTTTTTTTCCTCTTTGGGCCCAAACTTTCTCAACCTGTTCACAAACACAACTTCTCCATTGTTATCATCCCCCCTGCTCGTTCTCCCTCAGCCCACCGCAGGGCTCCGGCTCGGCTGCACGTCGGGCCCGGAGCCTCACTCTCTGCTGCTGCTGCCCCCAAAACACACAAGTTCATGGATTTCTGCATTTTCTCATAATTTCCGTGAGTTGTGTTGTGGTTTTTTTTTTTGTTGGTGCATGTTAATGCCTGAGATAGAAGTGGGTGGGCGGGACTATAGGGGTATAGGGGCTGTCATCATAGCCCCTCAGGGGATTGAGAGGAAAACACTTCTTGTCTTTTTTAGATAGGAGACAAACTTTGTGTATCTCTGGGCCTTTCCCCTGTGAGAACACACTGAGGGAAAAACACACACTCAAGATCCATGCACTTCATGACAACGCAGACATCATTTCATTGCCTGGCATGAAATTCTTAGTTTCTAAACTTTTTTAAAGTAGCACAATGAAAGTCATTTAAATGCCACATAGGAAGGATTCATATAAAAACACAAACAAAGATTTTAGCTGCAAGATAGGAGGGAAGTGTAGACAGTTGAGGTATTTTCTTCTTTCTACTCACTTTTGAATTTCCAATCAGAGTTATCGCTTTTGTTATGCTCTTTTTAATAGTTCATTTAACCTGGAATTAGTTTATTTTGTCTCTGTGTGGTTCCTGTGCAGCTCCTTGAATCTACCCCTGGCTTTATAAATCAAATTGTGTGTTCACATTTCAGAGCTAATATACCTATATATAATGTACCTGCAGCTCTGTTTGTAAGACCCAAAACATATCACAATAAAAACACATGTTTGCAGTATCTCTACTTGCAAATAAACACTCCAAGAGGAAGCAAGTGAATAAGGCACATATCACACTACCTCTGTACTTGTGATATTCATTAGTAGCTCTATATCAGTGTGTTAAAATGATGTTGGTGCATTAGTGTGTCGGCATTCAGGGGGGGAGGGGGTTGAGGGGGTTGAAGGGGTCAAAGAAAGAAAGTTTTCACTCGTGCACAATAACCCCTCTGTGGAGCTTCCCATGCAGCAGCAGCTGCTTTTGTTCTGAGGGGAATTCGTTGTTACTTTCACTGAGGCAGCAGCGCCCCCCACCGGCTAAAAAATATAGCGACCCCACAGAATCAGTTCTGTGTCATTGATGCAGGATTCAGTTGTTTTTAATCATTTGAGAAAATTAAAAGTTCTTTAATGCTTATGTGGATTTTTCAAAATAAATAATTTTGAAGACTGTAATAGACATTGTCATGTTTGCTGGTGAGACTCGAGATGCACTCAGTGGAGCACGTACCGCCGGACAATCCAAAGCCTCTTCAGTTCTTAGGTTAGAAATGTAAAAGAAAAGATGAAGTGGTCAGATAATCTAAATTATTCATTTTTAGTCAAATATAGGTTTATATTCCCAGATCTGCCCCTTAATCTGTATCCAAACCAGTTAGAGGTTCAGTAGAGAGAGAGCACAGGTCTTCATTATCATCTAGGTATAAACACTTACATTATTATTGAAATGATTAGAAATATAATACGAACAGCAAGAAGTTAATGATGAAATATATGATACAAGAAAGCTCATATGGGTGTTGCAGGTCTTCAGATCCACTCAGCTGCAAATGTTCACCAATTCAGCAACAAGAATATACTTCTGATAATAATAATTATTACTGAATAAAGAAAAATGTATTAATGTTGGCATTACCTTTTAATGGCTGTTTCGCATTAATTTTACATTTTGACAATACAGACAAAATGTTTCAGCAACGCAACAAAAAAACATAAATGTTAGTTTATCATCAACATAATCATCTCTATTTAACAAAAATAAAAATCTATCCCTGTGTTTTAGTATTTTACAAAAATGAGACATTTCTAAATAATACTGACTGACACAAATATGTTGACACAATACACAGACATCTGGGTACATCTAAACTGACACACATACGATGCATTTCACAAATATTTTACCCTATAGAGAAAAACATAATGGTGCAGTCCATCAGCGCATTAACAAATATTTACACTGTACAGATAAACACACATCACACACAACCTCATCTGTGGTCAAAAAGTCCACCGCATCTGAAATTACATATTCACATTACATTAAACCAACATACGCAACACTTCATCAAGCATGGGTGCAAAACTCAAACACAAGTCTAGTTTCCTACGTACACATGTACAACTCCTGAAGATTAAATCTTATTTGATAACTTGAACTGTTGAGGTGGTAACTAATTAATTTTTATTTTAAGTATTATTCTGGTAATTTAAGTTTAATTTTAAATTCAAATTGTAAAATCAGAGACATCCACATGACATGATCTTGTGGTTGGAAGAGCCAGATGTAACTTATAAAGAAACACTGAATTACTTATATGAACACATTCAGCAATTAACCACCCACCTAAGGTGGATTTTATAAACTGATTTAACTAATTTTGATAGTAAATGTACTAGCTAAATACTACATATACATAAGCTGCAAACTTAGATTAAATTAATTTAAGGTTTGATCTTTCTGGCAATAAGACTTCTATTACTAGAATAATGGGGAATCTGCACAAAGAAAATAGAAATCCTTACCAGAGAAGTGAAAACGTGCTTGTCTGGGTTTTAACAACAGTCCAGAGACAAAGGATTCAGCGATCAAGGGAAGCATTAGAAAAAATTCCATTAAATACAAAGACAAAAATAAATCCCATTGTTTTCTTTTCAGCTTCAAAATCTAAGTAGAAAACGAAGCGCTAGTGCAAAATAATGACAATTAAAATTAGTTACATTTACATGAAGCTACCTCAAAATGCAAATAGAGTAAACATTCTTTGACATTACATTTATGTTCATTTCATGAACTACAGATCAAATCATAAACTCAGTAACTCAGTTACTTAGAACATAAGAAACAAATGGGGGAAGTTTAAAGTAAAAATTTCTTCCATCGTGTAAACAGATTTGGACTGTAATGTATCTGATTATAGAAACAGATGACATCAGTATAAGTACTACACATACCACATGCACACTAGAGGTCTATTTTATTATCATTCTCTACTCTATCATCAAGACCTGATGTCCATCCACAGAGGTGATGTCTTGGAACAGAAATCCTAATATTGGATTCACATGCTGACAGGAAGTGGAAAACAGCAGCCCGTACCTCCATTTAAATGCTGCTCTTGAGCATAAATCAAATGTTTGATCCCTCTAAACATTATATGAGGATTTTCTTAATGTATTTGTGTACAAACACCTCTGTTGGCACACATTTAAAAAGGATTTCCTCTGTTAACTCAAGAATAAATGGATGAAGAAAAGCAAATGCACTGACTATTTTTTGTGTCATGAGTTGGATATATTTACAAAATAGTTTTTATGACATTAGTTTGCCTCAAACTGCTGTAAATAACACACCGTCTCTACTGGATTATATGTAAATAACACACAATCTTACTCTTCAGTGCAGTGATGATGTTGTGTGCAGAAGTGAAGTGCACACAACATCTAGGGGTGAAAATATGCAATATCCAAAGCTTGGATAATGTTGAAACGTGTCATTAATAAAAGAAAGGAACAGTGGAACCTTCATACAAAAATGCTAAATGTAAAATACTCATTCGATATATTTCATTTTTAAACATGAGGCAAGTTTCTCCTCAGACTTAATGTCCATACACAAGTACCTTATGTCCAACATGCAGTCAGAAACATTTACAGTCACTCTGAGCATTTTACATGGGTCAGTGACACCGTGGATTTTATCCCAAAATTCTATTAGTTGTTCTCTCCTTCACTACATACTGTACGTCTTCACCTCCACATCACATGTGTGAAAATAAGTCCCATATAACCTGTGGCGACCTGGGGGAGAGGAAAGTGTGTATCTTCACTATACACTTCACAGTGAGAAGCAAAACTGAAGAATCAAAAATTTAAAGTGAGCTGTGTAAGGATGATGTACAATGACGGGGTATTAGGGCCACTTAAAGGGGAGACAGATTTCCCTTACCCTGATTTCATTAATTAAGTTGTAATATTACAAGAAAGAAAAGTTGTAATATTGCATTATCATCAGTATCTGGACCATGAAAAGACAAATTGTGTCTATTCTGAAGAAAGAACCGCACAGACTGGAGGGAAATTGCATAATTTGTGGAAATGTTTGGTCGTGGTCGACTGCATTGACTCTGACATCTGTGACAGAGAGGTTGTGTTTTTCTAAAGAAACAATGAGATTGGTTCAAGGTTATGGATCCAGATGGACATAAATTCTAGTGAGCACAGAATCTCCCTGCTACAATTCTCAAAATCACATTTTCCCATTTAAGTGGCCCAAAACTTTATTTATTTACATAGGAGAAGCATACGATTCATTTCATCCTCCTGCTTTTCTCAGTGTTTGTTTATCGCTGTTCGATCCTCTGAGGAAGTGGCACTTCCTTGTTACAGTGAAAAATAAAGTTTTTGCAGAATCCTAGGATAGATCACTGTTTACTGCAGAGTTTGACTTTGTTCGCTCACACACTCGTACCTTTGAGTGTGGTGACTTTGAGCACAAACCTCCGGGTGCTCTGCCGGTATCGTGGCTGTGTGAAGTAAAACAGAATTGGGTCCAGAAAGCTGTTCATGCTGGCGAACGGCCTGGTGCTCTTATAGATGATTGAGAACAAGTTCCTGGTCTCGCAAGGCGCACCGGGCAGGGTGCGTATCACCAGGTACATGGTCTTGGTGAGGTGAAACGGCAGGAAGCTTATGCAGAAAACCACCGCCACCACAATGATCATCTTCACCGCCTTGTCCCGCATCTCCGCACTCGCCATGGAGACACCCTGGTAGGACACTGGGCGGCAGAGGATGAGGGCCATCCTGCAGTAGCACGCAATCACGCCAATAAAAGGCAACAAGAAGCCGAAGCAGGTCAGAGCCATGCCGTAAGGATAGTAGGCCACTGAGAGCTTTGGCGTGCTTAAGTCGTAACACACTGTGCGGTTGCGCTGGATTCCCGTCGCAGCAAAGTGAAACGTAGGTGCACACAGGATGGCGACCACCAGCCAAACCCCTCCGCAGATGCACCATGTCATCCTGCGACTGCAACGCTTGGGCCACATCGCGAGAGGATAGCAAATGCCCACGTAGCGCTGCACGCTGATGCAGGTGAGGAAGAGGATGCTGCCATGTAAATTACTACAAAAGGAAAACAGAAAAAGAATAAATCAGATTGGTTAAATCTTATTAAACTGCTCGACCAAGTTTTCTAATTTAACTGGAAAGGTCAAAATAAGCAATACTTTGAACACTCAGCTGTGTATAGAGATAATTAGTCAACATTCGTTAATAATCTCACCTGTAGAACTGAAACCTGACCAGTTTACAGGCAAGCTCCCCAAAGGGCCAGTAGTCACGGCTGCCGTAATTGTAGATGAGCAGAGGAAGTGACATCACGTATAGAAAGTCGGCTATGGCCAGGTTGAGCATGTAGATGTTGTTCTTGGACAGATTGGGCCTCGTCCTCCATATCTTCAGTATGACAGCAGCGTTGAGAGGGAGGGCGAGCAGGAAAACAAGCGTGTACACGGCAGGGAGTAAAATACGTTTAAAGTCTTCCTTATAGGTGCAGCGAAGGATTCCAATCCCACTAACGTTGCCGATGCTGGTGTTGAAGCTGTCCGCTGTAAAGGGGTCTGTGGGGTGTACACTGGTAGAAAAGACGTCCAAGGAGAAGGTTTTGGAGATTTCTGTGTGGAGGGAGGCGACAGAATGTGGCATCTTCATATTCTGGAAGAGAGACAGAGAGAGAGAAAAGCAGGTTATTATTGATAGAATGTAATATAATGTAATACAATACAATATGTCCATCCATCCATTATCCAAACCGCCAATTCGGTAATATAATAGGATATAATATAATGATAGAAGGTGTTCCAATTGAAATTCCAATACGGTATTAAATGGATGCTTAAGTGCTGACAGAAAAATAAACAAACTTTCCACAAGAGGGCAGAAGAGATAAATATTTGTTTGTTTCACACCTCACATCTCAAAAATCACCATGAAGCCTTCACCTTGAAGCAAACACTGGATTTAATCCACATTTTTATCCCCTCGATACTGGACTGAGACAAACAACCATTCACACTCATACATTTACACCCAGAGACTCTTCAATTCATCTAATCTGTGGACTTTGGGAGGAAATCAGAGCACCCAGAGAAAACTGACACAAACACATGAAGAACATGCCCAGTCCTCACAGAAAGACTCTAGGCGAACTGGGATTTGAACCAGCAAGAACACTGTAAGTCTTTGGGATGTAATGTAGTAGTCATACTACATGTATTTTACCTGTACTCAAAACCCCCATGGAATACTTCATTACTTTACCACCTGCAATCACCTGTGTATGTAGCTGATACAATAAGAGCCAGCCCATTAGATAATATTTATTTTATCTTTGCATGATTTCTAAAAGTAGAATCTGGACAGCTGCATGTTTTGTAATGAAAACTGCTGCAGACTGTCTGGACTCCCACTCACAATGCACAGCGTCTGGAACATGCTGCTACACACAATCTTGATTCCTGCACCCACCACTAACATCAATCATATCCATTTCCTACATGGAAGCTTGCAGGCTAGTGAGCAACTCACTCTGAGCCACTTCCTCTGCAGCCTTGTCAGACTGTGACTCATGGAATTTCACAACTAAAACCTAAGATCTGTGTGTGTGTGTGTGTGTGTGTGTGTGTGTGTGTGTGCACATGTAGTGTCTCGTGTAGTTGTGTGTTTCTAAAATCTGTGTGTGTGTGCCATACTTTTTGCTGAGAACAGCAGTGACGCATTATTTCATAATTCCTGATTGAGTGGCTGAAGAAAGGGAGCGGAGTGACCATATAACATTTCACTACAGTCAACCAGCGAGCACAGAGGATTAACAGAGAAGGGCTCTGCTTTATTTACTGGTGACTCACTTATATTTACATGTCAACTTGGTTTAAGAATAATCATGAGATCAACTTTCTGTGCAATCATAAAACCCCATGATGTCACCACACTTATATAATTATGCTTTGTGTAGTCTGTGTAACTCCATAAATCACAGTGTGCGTCAAAATGCTTATCTCCTCATGAAGGTGAAGGAATAGTGACAGAAGGTGGGCGGCTGCATGTTTAGGCCTGTATACAGCAGACTCTCTAACTTACAGGAAGGTAGTGTGGTGAACAATAGAGCCTGTTTTTTAAGGGCATATGCCGATATTGATATAAAATGGAAAAACAATACACACATATATATATATATATATATACACCTATTATGGCTATGGCATGCCGTTCAGGAAATTAAACCTTTGAATATATTGAATGAAACTTTGAATATATTGAATGAAGTCTGAATATATGGAATGAAACTTTGAATATATGGAGTGAACCTTGAATATATTGAATGAAACCTTAAATATATTGAATGAAACTTTGAATATATTGAATGAAACTTTGAATATTTTGAATGAAACCTTAAATATATTGAATGAAACTTTGAATATATTGAATGAAACTTTGAATATATTGAATGAAGTCTGTATATACGGAATGAAACCTTGAATATATTGAATGAAACTTGACTGACGTCAGACTTCACTGCAGTGCCTGCGGCCATCTTGTGTAACGTGTGGATGCTATAYCTAAAAGTGAGTGACAATGACTTAGTCCGCTCACAATCTCGTTGCAGCAAATTAAACTATGAGGACATCAGTAACAAATAAATCCCCCTAATACCCCTGCCCAATACTGTTCTTCTGACAAGGAAGTTCGCTCCCTTTTTAATCGTGGCAGACCTACTACAACAGGCAGCTGTTTATCAGGCCAACCTCAGCATGTCTTCAACCTCACAGGAGTGCCCCACAGCACCCCGTGTACAATCTCCGCCCGTACACAAGAAAGGGCCCAAGACACTGTATGGTTAGCTTGATATAGTTTTCAGGTGATTTAATGAAGGTAAAACAGATTGAAGCTGTCTGCTATGAAGGGGTCTGTGGGGTGTACCAGATTGAATAATTGTCAGAAAATTATGGACAGAATTGTTTTCCAGTGCTCATTATTGTTACCTTAAAATTCCACAAGGGAGGGATCTGTTATGTGTTTACCAAGACACCAAAAATACCCATGATGTTAAGAGGAAAAGGAAATGAAAGACAGATGTTTCTCAGTGTTGTTATAGTCTTGACTATTTTTAGATGAGATGAGAAGTAAGTGTGTTTGTTTAATAGAAGTCATTTCAGGCCACATGTTTACTCCATGCTGACACGGAAGTCAAACAGTCATTAAGTCATTGTTCACTGACCTTTGCAGGAATCGATGTGACTGTTTTATTATGGGTGTGAACAAGTTGTTTTAACCTTTGCTTGATGACTCATCATAATTTTGGTAGCCTTCCTGAAGTGTGTCGTTAATTCTATAAACCCTGCTGGGTGAACCAGACGCCATTTGAATTGCTATACGATATTTAAGATTTATGTATATCAGGTATATGATGAAAGATTTCCATACAACAAAATAACTTAATAGTGAATAATTAAATCAAACTAAAACAACAATTAGATGTATGTAATAGTACAAATTGTGTATATACCCAGGTTTCTGCAGCATAAACCTGATTATTAAACATTAGAAAACACAAAATACATATATCCAAATCCTATCCAATTTAGTTTGGCAATTTCCCATCCACTAACATGGAGGAGGCAGGGTTTATGACTGCAGCCAGTCCCCACAGGGCAATCAAGACTCATTGGCTTCACTTTGGGGAGTCGTCCATCTTTATAGTTTATATAAAGTCTTGTAGTTGAGACATGTTAGATTTAGTGTGTCGTGTTAAGTTGTTGTGCGTTGGTGCTGTAGAGCACACAGAGATGGAGAGGACATGTTGATTTTGGGGGGGGGTCAAGATAATTTTTACTCTTTAAACATGTTCAGTGATGCTTTGCCAATATTATCTTATAAGTTATCTATTGGGAAATGGAAATCTAGAAATCCTCTCACCCTTAAAGGTTCAAGATTGTG